CCAAGCATTCAAAAATCACAAAATTGGCTTGAAAATCATGGGTGGGGGGGTTGTTTGTTTTTTATAAAATCTGTTTTTTTTTTCTTTGCTTTCAGGTTTTTCAGGTTTCTCAGCCTTTAGGGTCATACTCAGGCCGTGTTTTCAAGCTGTTTATCTGCAACTACGAGGGATGGAAATCTTTTTTTAAATGAAAGCTGAGATTCTCACAATTGCATACCTCCAGGAGCCGGGGCTTTAAGAAAAGCACCAAATATCAGTTTAAGACTTTAAGAGTGGAGGTGAAGACTGCTCTATCTTGTTGAAACTGCAAGGGGGAATTACTCATCCCAAAAGAGGGGTCTGAGACAAGAGGAAGTTGAAGCTTGAAGGAAGGCTTACCTACTTGGGGAAACGAACCAGAATAGCTCCCCCTGTGGACACTTGTTCTGGAATAAGCATGCTTTTTTCTAATTGATTGTAATTGGTGGTTTTTCTCAGCAAAAGGGTGAGTTCTGACAGCGATCTGGAGGTGGTGACAGGCCGATCTCAGACTACATCAGTGCTAGCTTACTCCACTGCTGTAGCTCATCCCTAGTGTCGCGCCATTATCCGTCGCCAAGGTGGGGGGAACTATCGTATAGCCAGGCCATTAGTGTTTAACCACTCTGCTGTCTGTCTACCGAAAATTAAAATAGCTCGACACTCTTTTGACTGCGCTGCGCAATTGTCCGTCTCAGCCACACTCGCAATGGTCTCCTGGTTGCCGGGGCTGGCCTGGTTTTGGATGAGTCTAAACAGATACCAAAACTTCCAACAGCATCTCGCAGGTGGAGAACCAATCCAATTAACCGTGAGTTTAAAAAACCCAAACAAGCCCCAGAGAGCGAAAGCCTCTTACTCAGTTAAAAAACGACCAGTTCAACTATTGAAGAATTGTACCACCTGCTGGAGCAATGGGAAATGGCAGCGGCGGGTGTATGTGTGTTGCAAAGCCTCATGTAAAATTAACTAGAACGTGGGTTGGGACTGAGCTGTTGTCT